TACATACACAGCGAGGGTGTTCTTCATCGAGATGTGAAACCTTCAAATTGTTTTTTGACTGCGGAGGGGGAACTACGCCTCGGCGACCTTGGACTAAGTCGTGCATGGGATACGGAGGCATCCATGACTCACGAAGTCGTTTCGAGGTGGTACCGTGCTCCCGAGTTACTTCTGGGCCAGCGACACTACGGACCCGAAATTGATGTGTGGTCATCAGGGTGCGTATTTGCGGAACTTCTACGGGGGTACGGTGGTGCTTTTTTTGCAGGCGATGGAGATATTTGGCAGTCGTCACGAATATTTGATGTATTAGGGACACCGACGCCCACATCGTGGCCATCGGCGGTGCTGCTTCCCGATTGGGGAAAGGTGCACTTTGAGCCGAAGCGTCCTCTTCCTCTCCGTGAATTTTTCCCGGATGCCTCTGAATGTGCATTGGATTTGTTGCGAAGATTACTTTGCCTGGATCCTCAGAAGCGTTTGACTGCGGCTGGCGCCCTTCGTCACGCCTACTTTAGTGAATACCCGACGTGAAGGTCCATGGATAAAGGGACGCGGGGGCTATGTGTGGTGTGCGGGGTGAAAATTGGAATTGCTCATATAAATGCGTGCTCATTTTCCTTGACAATTCTTTTTGGTTGTTGTTGTTATTTTACTGGGTTATTATTATTATTTTGATTATTGTTTAAATTTATTTTTATTTTTTAATTATATTTTGTATTCGTTCTTGTGGATTTTTAAGTGTGAAGTCCAATTTTTATCCAAAGAAAACTAACGATTGTGCGAGAGAGAGAAGGAGGGTGACGAGCACATATCTAACATAATAATGTATCGTTGCCTTCATCATTTCTCCACGTTGCCACTGGCGTTTGTACGACGGACTGCTACAAACAGTTACGTCAATCGCCATATTGCACCATCAGCGGCAGAACCAATTTCTATGCTTCGAATAATTGGCAAGGAAAGTCTGTCGGACCTCATGACTGCTGTGATCCCAGAGAATATTTTGCGAAGTCCTTTAAAAGGGGTTCCGGCGATGAGCGAGCAGGATGCCCTTTCGCTTCTCCATTCACCGGGTTCACGCAATAAGGTATTAAGGAGCATGATTGGGCAAGGATACTATGGGCCAGGGCACACCACCTGTAATACTTCGTAACGTTGTCGAGAATCCTGCATGGTACACCCCATACACTCCTTTCCAGGCTGAAATATCTCAAGGCCGTCTAGAGTCCCTGTTGAATATTCAGTCCATGATTATAGACTTGACAGCTGTGAATGTGGCAAATGCACCTCTTCTGGATCAAGCTACTGCATGTGCTGAGGCAATGTACCTTGCCTTTCATCATGGTCGAAAGGAGCGCATGACCTTTTTTATTATTATCGAGGGATGTCTTGCCATCTTGCGTAGAGATGGCAAAAACAAGGGCTGAGCCCCTTAAAATAAAGGTCTTTGTTGGTGATCCAAATTTGATTGATTGGGGCGATTCCTCACTTTGTGGAATTTTGGTACAAACTCCAGATGCCATGGGGATGCTTCATGATTTTACGACACTGTTTGAGAAGGCAAAACAACATGGTGTCGTCAGTTGCTGTGGGGCAGATTTGATGGCTTCTGTTCTTCTCAAACCTCCGGGAGAAATGGGAGCCGATGTTGTTTTGGGATCTGCCCAACGCTTTGGTGCCCCACTAGGGTTTGGGGGGCCTCACGCCGCATTTTTTGCTGTCAAGGAGGAATTTAAGCGATTGATTCCGGGTCGCGTCATGGGTATAAGTAAAGACTTGACGGGTTGCCCAGCCACACGCATGGCGCTTCAGACGCGGGAGCAACGTATTAAGAGGGAACGCGCCACATCCAATATTTGTACTTCACAAGCTTTCCTAGCAAATGTTGCGGCATTTTATGCCATTTATCACGGCTCTGAGGGCTTGAAGGAAATTGCGAGCGAAATGCTCAGTAAAGCCAAAATACTTTCTGTTGGTTTAGAGTCTGTAGGGCATACAGTGGTCAATGGTGCATTTTTTGATACCATCACCGTAAATTTAAAAGGTATAACGCCTGAAGAATACGTGACATGCTGCGTGTAAAAAGGCATTAATATTTTTGTTGATTATAGTCATGGCACCGTCTCTATATCGGTGGTTGAGGCCAGTACCGAGGGCCATGTAGTGTCTCTCTTGGAGGCAGCAGGGCTGCAACTTCCTGTGATAGGTGTCCTTTCAAAACTCGCAGAACAAAAGAGAGCAATGCCTTTGCAATTGTTACGAAAATCTGTCTTTCTTGGGCATTCAATCCTTCAAAAGTACAAAAGTGAGAGTGAGCTTATGCGGTACATTCACCGTCTTCATGGAAAAGATCATGGTCTCACGCATGGTTGTGTGCCCTTGGGTTCTTGTACCGTGAAGCTTAGTCCAGCTGCCGCCATGTTGTTCTTGTCGTGGCCAGAATTTACCAACCTTCACCCTCTTGCACCGAAGGAGCAAACGCGAGGACATAGCGCGTTGTGTTTGGATCTGGAGCAGAAAATAAGGGATATTACCGCTTTAGATGCCGTGTCACTTCAGCCAAATAGTGGTGCTCAGGGTGAATATGCTGGTCTTTGTGTGATCCGCTCGTATCATAATTCAAAAAAGGAGAGCCATCGCAATGTTTGCTTGGTTCCAGAAAGTGCTCATGGCACAAATTTTGCTTTGGCTCTCTTGGCAGGGACGGTGATTGTAAAGATAAAGTGTTTGGCGAATGGAAGGATTGACATGAAGGATTTGGAAAATTCTTGCCAAAAGCATACAAGGAATCTCTCGTGCATTGTGATAACGTATCCGAGTGCGTATGGTTTGTTTGACAGGGAAATCTTGGCCATTACTTCGATGGTGCACTACGATGGAGGGCAATGTTATATTGATGGTGCAAACACGAATGCCATGGTGGGTTACACGGCACCTGGATGTATTGGGGGCGATGTGTGCCAGATTAATCTCCACAAAACGTTTTCAATTCCTCATGGTGGTGGTGGGCCAGGCATGGTCCTATTGCTGTTCGTCAGCACCTGGCTTCATTCTTGCCATATTCTGTTTTTATTCAAAATGTTGGTGGTTCCCAGCCCTTTGGTCAAGTCTCTCAAGCAGCATACGGACCAGCGTCTATTCTTCCAGTTTCTTATTTATTAATGTGGATGCTTGGTTCACGGGGTCTCAAGACATGCACGGGGTATGCGATTTTAAATGCCAGCTATTTAAAGAAGCGTCCTGACGGCCACTGCCCAGTACTCTTTCTGGGGGAAAACGATTTCTGCGCTCACGAGTTTATCATAGATTTAAGGCCATTCAAAAAACAGCACAAATTGAGGCAGAAGATGTGGCGAAACGACTTATGGATTATGGCCTTCACTCACCTACCCTGGCATTTCCTGTTGCGGGAACACTCATGACTGAACCCACAGAGTCAGAGTCAAAGCGGGAGTTGGATCGTTTGGCCGATGCACTTATTTCCATTCGTACCGAAATTGCATCCATAGAGGAGGGTGAAGAGAGCACAACGAACAACGTTCTCAAGAATGCCCCGCACACGGCAAAGTGTGTCACATCAGATGATTGGGACATGCCATACACCCGGAAAACTGCTGCATTCCCTTCGAGCCATTCATCCACCGAAAAGTTTTGGCCTTCAGTTGGCCGCATCGATGGAAGCTATGGGGACAGAAACTTGATGTGCAGTTGTGCATTGACCAATTTTTGTGAGTAAAACTGTTGCAGTGGGAGGCAGTATTTTTTATTTATTGCCAATTTTATATTTTTATTTGTTTCTGCATCCATTTCTTGGGCGATGGAGTGTTTTGGGCCTATTTGTGTCTGGTGCGATAAAACTGAACAAGGGGAGAGGGATATGATTGTGTGTGAGTGTGTGTCTGTCTGTGTGGTCGCAGAATGATTTTATGGTCTTATTCTTTATCTTGTCAAGTGCTCTTCTTTAGGATGTACAATAATTCCAATGGGAAGATGCCTTGCCCTTGCAATCGCCTGGATTTCTCCTGCTTATTATTCCCTTTGTTGATACTGTTGTTGATTTGTCAAGGCAAAGCTTTACTGCAACCATACAAATGCATGTTTGCGGGATTATTTTTTTGTCAGGCCAAATGTGAGGGGAACTAAGGCGTCTGCCTTTCCCTCACTGTCGTCAAGAGTATTCCGGATGCTCATCACGCAAACGTCTCAGATGTAATTTTTTTCTCAGTTTTGAATGATTTCTTGCACTTCGACAACGTCCAGCTTTGAGAGAAATGGGGGTTACGATGAGAGGGAAATTGTCTACACTCTTTTTTTTGGTGCATCTTTTAGTTTTTGTTTTCTCTTGTTGCTGCTAGAAAACACTGAACGAGAGGGTTTGCTGCCCTTTTGTTTTATTTGTCCTCTCAGCCTGACGGCCAGTTTTACACCGAAGTGCTCCTCGGCACCTCAGTTGTCACAGTCAATCGCATGCGCCAACTTTCCGTTGCTTTTTTGCATTGACGCAATTATTTTTTTTTTTATTGATTGACGGACGCCGTTCCGTCCGGCGTGTCGCTTTGATTGGATTTTATGGGGTTGCTCGCCAACACCATCAAACAAAACAGGCTGACGACTTCACGTATTTAATGCCATCTTGCGCGCAGGTATTTTTTTTACTTCTGTTTATGTGCACTCAAACAGCGAGGGATTTGGAACTATGCGTGCGTGGAATTCTTCCTGCCATGTGAACTGCAGGCGGCACCGAGGGGCTGCCACTTTAATCCGCAGAGTTGTTGTGTCTCTTCTCAGGGTTGGCAGGGAAATTGCATGCAGTCTGCTACTGCTGGTGTGTCCTCAAAAGTTTTCACTCCATGCGAATAATGTGCTTCAGCGAGTGAGGGGGATGATTGGGTTTGTGTGCACACTGGTTCTGTTTGCTGCTTTGTGCGGGCACGCAACACTTGAGTGGTGGGAAAATGGAGCGGGGCGATGCATGGCCGCGTCTCGCCCATTGTTCAGTGCACGATGGTGCGGTGCACATTGTTGTGCTGACTCTGCGATGTGACAGCGGTCTCCTGCGCGGCAATGGCGGTGGGTGGATGGGAGCCTGACGCGGAACGACGGTGGGATCGTTCCTCCTTTTTATTCTTTTTTGAAGGTGTGCACTTATTTTTGGTGTCGGTTATGAGGCAAACAGACCGACAACGTGAATAAAACAAAATGAAAAAGGACGATGGTGTGGCGGTGTTGGGGTTGGTTGCACGTTGTGTTGCTGCGGGGCGGTGGGCCTCGACTGCTTCACCGACAGGCGTTGCAGTGCGGCTGCATGGCGCACCGACTACCACTCCGCCGTGCGAGTGCCACGCCCAACGCCATTGGGACTGCGGGACAAAACAGCCGCGAGTGTCCTTTGGAGCCAGCGGCACCTGCTGGCCGCAGTTGGGCGGTGCGAGTGGGATGCTTCACCGCACGGGTGTTGTGATGGCGCCTCGACGCGGTTCTTGTGATGGTTCCGACGCTGCAGCTCGACATGTGGCGGGGAGTAAAGTGTG